GAAAACCAGCCAAGACAATAGGTTGTATTGACCCAGGTTATATATAAACTAAAATGTGGGCTGTGAACAGTGATGATCTACACTCTTTTTAAACTTCTTCGTTGCTGTTTGTGACTGATTGATAATATGTGTAGCCTATCAGTGTCAGGTTTATTATGCGATACAGAGTGAGAACACAATGAAGCACTGCCACAACCACATCTGAAGGATTATTCCTGTCTGGAGGATATTTATCCCTCCTACACCTACTGAGATTCACTAAGTGTACAAATAAGGAAATTTTTCACCCCTCTATACATGTGTGAAGATTCTATCCGATATTAGTTCAAATCAGGACACTTTGCTTTTCTACGTTGACCTAAAATCTTGCTGTGTGTCATTCAAGGCGCATACAAAACTTTATAAAGACAGCCGGTCAGTCTGTCTGTTATAAAACTAAATAAAAATAATTTCGACCTAGCAAAGGGACCACAGAGTGCATACTTATCAAGACAGCTGTGTTTGAAAACAAAATGAAAGAGTAAGTAACTGACTGCCTGTTTCTGATGAGACGTACCTCGACCCAAGTTTTCACCTCCTACATCTATCTGAAATATATTTAGATAATTTTTACGCTAATAAAATTGATTCTTTTCGCCATTTTTCGCATTTCACATGTGAACATGTTGAACTGATTGGTTCCCGGTAACTGTGAAGAAACTCATTGTTTTAAAATAACAATACCTTTAATACAAACGTGTGTTTAACTATGTGTTCTGACAGTGAAGCCAGATTTCTTCTTGGAGTCGAGATGTTTGTTGCTGCCTGAGCTGTGGAAATGTATTCTCCCCCAAATTAAATGCTAAAATGCGTAGTTTGTTCTTTTGATCTGAAGCCTCTATCCATAGGACAACTTTCTGATTTGCGTTCCAAACCTTTTACAAATCTCAACTGCAAAATAAAACCGTTTTCTGATCTTACACGCTTAGCGTTAAGGATAAGGTTTGGTTAGGCATAAATTTCCTAATATACTTGCATTTTTTTGGCATTTTTAACGTTTTCCTGAATACATTTAGTGCAGAGAAGATGCCTTTCAGAGATTGTTTAGGCTACCAGCTACCTGATAACATTGGCAAAATGTCTACATCAATTTACACGTGGAACAGGTTTTACTGGTTTTACTAAATTATAGTATTATCTTGCTTAAATACAGGCAAATATACTTTATGTGGCCTTTTAGTTGATGCTCTACCGGTTGCAGCGTGCGCTTTCATGGCAGCTGCCATTGTCGTGTGACGTTCATTTGGCTGCTTCTCATGAAGTCGGGGTACAGAGTTTACTAGTGGAAACTTCGTGTGGCGTTCCATGGTAGCCTACTTTTTATAGTTGGAGGAACGTCTGTCGTCTGATGCTGTCCTTTATCTTGGTAGAAAGTCTTTGCATTGGCTTCCACTTAATTTCAGTATTGATTGTAAGATCTTCTTACTAATTTATAAGTCCAGATTTGCTGTTACCTTATGAACCTACTGGAACCCTCAGGTCCTCTGGTAGTGTTTTTTTTTTTTTTTATATTCCTAAAGCCTCTCGGGTTGAAAACTCATGGTGAGGCGTCCTTTCAATATTATGGCCTGATGAGTTGAGGGAAGCAGGGAATCCGGACATGTTTAAAGGCAAACTAAAGACATAACTATTTAACCAAGCTTTTGACTGAGCTGTATTTATTTGATTTAGTTTAAACTTTATTTATTTATGATATTATGAGGGTACATCCAGGATTAAGACCTTTTTAATACCACCTAGGATGAAATTTTATACCAACTTCACGGCTGTATAATGGAAAATTTGTATGAATTTTAAGCCAAAATTTTTTTTTTACAAAGTTACATGAATTTAATAAAATATTTTATTATAATACATTCATATTTAACACACTATAGCTTTTTAGGGTGTGTTTATACTTTGATAAAATGAATCAAGGACATCACTTTGTGCTAAAAAGTGGGGGAAACATAGGGGTTCGGATTAGGGGTGTGACGATACACTTTGCTCACATGCACGATTTACAATATTGGGTTCACAATACAAGAAGATATTTTAACACTATTTGATGAAATATTCAATGCTGAAATATTCAAATGGGGTCCCCTAGAAAATTTTGAGCACTAAACACTTAATTTTCTGCATTCTGCAGACATTTTCTGCACCAATTTATGGTAGAATTGTCTTTATTTATATAAAGTGACAGATATAGAATATAATATACATGTTTTCTTATTGTGCAAATAAACCTTTCTCAAAGTATTTTCATTTGTTTGTTTTTTTTAACATTTCTATTTGCAAGCCAGAACATATTTAACAAATGCTTTAAAAAAAAGTGATGGAGACATGTCCCCAGTATCCACATTGTAAATGACAACTATGAAATGAGAACAATATTTGTGCAATAACAACTCTTAAGGTGTGAAATCAAAAATACCAAAAAATTGTGTGGTTTAAGTTCTGCAATTAGTTACACCGTGGCTATATAATGTAATGTGATGTAATTTAATATGCCAATTGTTTCAGTGATTATTAAATCTATTCTGTGTCTGCATCTAAAGGCTGCTTGAAATATAATATTATATAGTATTAGCTTGAAGGCAGCGGGATAAGAAGTTGGGCTCTGGTTTGGGTGAGGTAAGTTTAATGTACGTTAACGTTAGTTGGATGTTTCCACACAGACACGGTGCTCGTCTCATACACACCTGTCTCTCCGTTGCTGTTGACCAGTAACCTGCAGCGGGTCTTCCAGCTCCGCTGTTCCATAAGCGCTCGCCATAGTGTGACTGACTCACAGGGCTGGGCTAACGGCCGTTATATGGTGTGGTACTATAACATTATTGTAGTTTTTAAACTATTGTTTCTAAATGGCTCTGTATTGTGAAGCACTTTATGTTACATGTATTTGTATGAAAAGTGCTATATAAATAAAGAATGATTGATTGAACAGCCTCAAACATCAGTTAAATCCCTTAAAGGTAATTCAGGAATTTCATGCTGATCAACCTATATTGAAGCAACAAACAAAAACCCACCTTGCTTCACCTGGGAGTTTTGCTTCAGCTGATTTAAGCTCAAGTTCCTCCAACTAGATGTCACTGAAGAGAAGTCTGACTGTGGTGGTGATTTTGAAAGGTTTTGTTCCACGTGTTTCAGGGCATATTTGCCTTTAACGACGGCTGTCTCTGAAGCAAATCTCTGTCTTATTTTATTTACTAGAACTCTTTTTGTAGTCCATGTCCATTAGTGGTTCCGGGTTCTTGTTCAGCTGACTTTTCTTCTCCTGTTGGCCAACAACAACAACTCAAACCAATTTCAGAACTTACCAGGAACTCAAGCTGGTTTTTCACCCAGCTTCTGTTTTTTTGGGGTTTCATCTCATTCATTCATCACATGTTCACTGCCATCTTTCTTTTTAAAGGTTCAGTGTGTACGTTTTAGTGACATCTAGTGGTGAGGGTTGCAAACTGCAACCAAAGGCTCACTTACCGCTCACCCAAAGTCCTTATGGGTAAGTCCTGCCACTTGTCAGTCACCTTGGCAACGCCTCCGGGCAGCTATTTCGGACTAACAAGACCAGGCTCCTGTCTGAAGGAATGGGGATGGAGCCAGATCTGCGCTTTCACAGGTCACCAGGGCATTAAAAACTACATGAATAGAATCAGCAATAAAATCTAATAAAAACTGCAGAAAAAGTTTGATGACTTTGCCCCAAAATAAGGTTTAAAAAGTGTTTCTTCCAACCGGTTATAATTCTACTGCGCATGCGTCACAGTCGAAGTAAAACAGACCCTTACGTCTAGCGGGAGCGGCGGGCTTTTCCCCATAGAGTTGTATTAAGGATGTGATTGAGTGGCGTGTCTCCTCTATCCAACTTCTCTGGCTCACCCCTCCCTTTCCAGGCAAGAAGCTACGGTGGCCGAGATGCTCTGTCGGCTCTTGAGCTAAATAACACGTGTGGTTCATTTTTCTTCTTACTTTTCAGAAGTTTTTCAGATGTTAATTTTTGAATGCTTTCACCATACTGTCATACTGTCACACCTAAGTTCCCACTGGAGAATTCAGCTGGTTTTAGAAGTCACATAATTAAATTAATGGAGATCAGCTGTGTGTAGTCGAGGGGTTACAAATCCAAATGTATCTAGAAGGTCCAACTTTTGATGCGTCAAAAGGGGGATGGGCACAAGACAATTTCAGTCACTTAACATCCCCATGGAGTCCAGTTAAATCGATCATTAAGAAATGGAAAGAACAGGTTGTCCTCAAAAGCTGAATTGATCTTACTGGAGACTAGTGGGGGAGGACTGAAGGAGCTTCAGCGGGTCCGATTGGAGAGACTGTATATACAACAACAGCTGGCCGGGTGTCACAATTGCAGTTTTATGAGAGAGGCAAAGAGAAAGCCTCTCACGTGACGACTTGGCTACAGTTTGCCAGAGGGCACGTGGGAGACGGAAGTCAGCTGGGGGAAGCTTCAATGGCCTGATGAAACCAGGCAGCTTCTTGGAAGCAGCCCTGGAAGGTTTGTGTCACCATAACCTTCTATACAAACTTTAAAATTGACCCTAATTTATTCCACTTTTAACCAAAAAGATTCAAGATCAAGATTTCTTACTGCTTACTTACTTATTACACAGTAATGAACGATGAGACAAAATGGCAGAATAAAATAAAGAGTTGCATATTTATTCACTAATTGGGCCTCAGTAATACAGGATTTAATCAAATTTAATGTATGCTGGATGTGAGAATGTCCTTTTCCTGCTCATTCAGGATACAAAGGCATAAATCAAAACCAGGTCCCCCAAAAACCATCTGAACACCAGGATCAGCTGGTCTGTGAGCGAATGAGCCAAATAATCAGCAGATGCTTCCTATCAGGTGAACACACACACACACAAAAAGTATCCAGGTGCTCTACACACACACACACACACACACACACACACACACACACACACACACACACACACACACAGGTGTTATTATTGCCTAGGAGTTTTTATTTTCTACAGGAATTTACAGCAAAAAAAGACTAACACTGTTGTTGCTAATATTCAAAAAGGTCCTGAAAATAAATTCTAGCACACTTTTTGACAGGTATTAAAAAGACACACACCTCCCGTGTCAGCCCGCCCCCATCTCTCACTCCAGTTTCCAGGGCAACTAAACATCACGTCAAAGAATTAAAAAAATAAAAATGAAATACATACAGTATTTTCTGCAATGGCACAGAACAAAAGAAGTCGGGCAGCATCACCTTCAGTGTTTGTTTTAGGCTGCTTGGAGACCCAGATGTCAGGAAAGCTTTGAAAAATGTTCACATATTTTCCCATAGTTGCTGGAAACTTTCAGGCATTTGTTGTAATGTCCAGCATGGTGAGTCTCTCCCACCTGCACAGACGTTGGCTGGGACAGATGGGGTAGGACTACTTGCTAACTTTCCAAATTTAGATTTGCAATTCTGCTCATCAGCTCAGTGCCCTCTGGATATCTGCAAATCTTAATTTCCTCCTTAAGGTGCTATATTGGGTTGTGTATGGCATTAGCTCAGTCCATGGGGACTTGTTTTGGGAGCCAGAGGGTCCTACAGTGTCTGAAATCTTGTAAAAGCCTTAATGTGGTGTTCTTGTGATTCTGTATCAGACTTTGGAGAACTTATATGAGACACATTAATAAAATTGAATTGTCAAAGTCAGAGCAGAAGAGGCTGAGATATGCTAACTTTTAGTCACTAGCCGTAGCACATGAAGGATTCACAGGGCACTTCACATTTTACCATAAAAAAAGGGTTTCTGATTGCTGTACTTGTGAGCTGTGATGCTGCAGAGTTCAGCTGGTAGAAAAAGAATTAAACAAATCAAGCAGTTATCTTCCAAAGTTCCCTCTTTGTGCCTCAACATGCAGAGTCTGCTTGCTGAGGCACGAAAACGAACAAAAAGGAACACAGAGATGATATTTCATGCTCAAGACTCTGGGAGATAACCTCTTGATTTATCTGCTGAAGCCTCATATAACAATTTTACGACAATTAAAATGTGAATCTATCCTTTAAGTAAAAACTAAACCTAAAAAATACTCAATTTCAAGAAAAAGTCATGACTTGAAAATGTTATATTCTAGAGTCGTTACACATGAACTGAAATAAACCTTTTCGTTTTAATTTTGATGATTCCGGCTTGCAGCTCATGGAAATCAAAATTCTAGTATCTCGAAATAGGAGAATTTAAGAATAAAGAATTTAAATGTTGACCTGAGAAGAGATCTAATCAGCGAATTAACTCAACACACCTTAAAAGGTTTCTTGAGCCTTTAATCTCTCATTTCAGTGAAGTTTAAATGAACTTTTCCACAATATTAAAATGTTTTGAGATGCACCTGTGTTATTAGCAAAATAATACTTTAAATACTAAAAGTAAAAGCATGAAATTGCTCCCATGAGTTTTGTACTGACATACAGATGTATATTTTATTGTTAAATTATTAATACTGATGTATTAATGTTAAGATTTAGGGTGATCTATTGGCAGAAATATTAGCAGCAACTGAATGTAATAATCCTAAGTATGTTTTCATTAGTGTATAATCACATGACAAAATAAGAATAATTTTATTTCAGTCCAACTTTCAGATGACTGAAATCTGCAGCCTCACTGCTAGATGCCATAAACTGCATGTATACACTTACATACTGTTGGGTGCATCATATTTTATTAACAGATTATATACTGTAGCTCAAGCTCCACAAACACAGGATCCTACGCTTCCCATAAATCAGTCTTCTCTTAGACCCTTCTTGTCTGGTAAACAAAACCTTTTGCTATGTTTGCCATGTTTTAAAGAGTGAACACATTGTTCACATTGGAAGTTCATTGGTGCTTATAACCCCATAAACTCTCAGTTTCCAGTAACTTTTTAGGTTACGGAGTTTGTTATCTCTGTCTTTCCCTTCAGGTTTCTACATTTGTCTGTTGTGCAGACTGTGCAAAGCCCTCAATAAATAAAATTTACTTGAACATCGGGTTGTCCATGCAGATTAAAACAAAGACAAAAAAAATTAATACTTGCAAGCGTTGGTGGCTCCAAGTGATTCTAGTGGTTTGATGCCACCTTCCCTGTGTCAACCAGGATCTAACATCTGTCCCAGTGCAGCCTCTGTCTGTCCGAGTGGGACAGTAACTGCCAGAAATGTTAAATGTTAATGTTAAAAATCATTTATTTTATTAGAAAAGGCAAGGCATCAAGCATTCCCAAACATCTGTGAGCAGTAACCGTGCCAACTGCTGTCCATAAATGAAGGACCTGGTGAAAACTTCCTATTTTTAGCCTTTGGGGACATTTTAGAATAATTAGATTCATACAAAGGACGAAAGAAAGTATTTTTATTCTACTGTGCACAAGCTGAAGGAGGCTTCATGTTCATTACCATAAAGCCAAACTGTCCTAAAAAACTGTTAACACTTGGAAAAATATCTACAGTACAGTCATCTAGATTAGATGCAAAAAATGCTTTTATTTGCTCGTGTAAATATATAAGTGGGGTAAAAATTGTGAACTTTATGGAACCAGAGGGGAGGGCTGATTGAGACACTGCAGTTCATCCACAAGGAGGCAGAAGAAGAAATAAAAGTGCACTGAAAAGAAAGCAACCAGATTTACAAGCCGTTTAATCTTGAATTCCGTCTTATAATCATACAAAAGGGAGTGAAAAGGGTCAAAAGGGGGCCACAATTTGACTTTCACCTTGAGAAAAGATTGGATGTCTTCAGGATCCCATCAAGTGTTAGTGAAAATAAAAATTCAGATACACCAGAATAAATAGAATATTTCACCTTTTTCCAATAAAGTGAGGGCTAAATACAAGATTAACGGACTTGCAGAGGTGAACATTTTGGGAGGAAGGCAGAAGGAAGGAGGGAGGCGAAAAAGGGGTAAGAAAAGAAACAGAGAATGAAGATATACATAATAGCTGTAATGATCCACTGTATTAGTTAATAGGGTGTTATTAAAGCACTACAGACTAGGTGTGTCGGCTGCCTGCCACACTGAGCGTCATTGTCTCTAATATGCAGCAGTGCGCTACGTTAATGTGTAATAAATCATTTACACAAACAAAAATCCCCCGCTTCTAGCTATTACATCTGCTTAGCAAAAAAAAAAAAAGAAGAATAAAACAAATAAATAAAATAACAAACACAGAAAAAAAAAAACATAAGTGAGCTTTCAAACCGCATCTTTAATGATAACTCAAACCCCGTAAAATTTGATGGCTACTGTTTTCTTTTCCTCTAAAAGATAATACAGAAGTAGTTTTGATGCAAGATTTGTTATTACTTCTTTTTTTTTTGCTTGTTTGAGTTTTGTTTTTTAGAAAAAATTTTTTGTTTCTTCATGAAGCGCACTTCCTACTTCCTCTTGGTCCGGTGGTGGTGTCTGATTGGCCCCGTTAGTCATCGTCGTCGTCGACCACGGGGTCCGTGTCCCAGCACGTAATGTCAATCTCTGGACACACAAACATATTTTTGCTGAGTTACTCTAAGACAATATTTATTTCTGGTATATTGTTGAAATGGGGTGGTTATACAGAGGGGTGTTTCTGTTATTTTGTCTACCCTTGTTGATATAAATGGGGTGGACAAAAGAATAGAAAACCCTGTCAACACCTCTCTAAATATGCCAGTTAAGATGGTATCTCACCTGGTGGCTTGTTATAAAAGACCGGTGCAGGTTTAGCTGAGGACTCCTCTGATTGGCCAAATTCTTCCTCCTGTGATTGGCTGAAATAGCCCTCGCTGGCCTATAAAACCCAACGGAGAGAAAAAAACTGTTAACAAACAGAGAGAAAGACAGAAAACCTTTTTTGAATGCAGCATTAACCTGTCTGACCTGAGTCCCTTCTTTCAGCAGCGTCTCCCCATTGGTCATCAGCAGCTCCTGCCCATCCCCGGATGCATGCTGCAGTGCATGCTGGTAGCTGAGGGTCATCTGGTCGGAAGCCGTCACGTCCACCAGACTGGAGGGGTCGTCTTCGGTGCCAGCGGCCGAGCATAAGGTCCCGTCCATCATGTCATCGAAGCTAAGCAGGGGCTGAGGCTTGCCGCAGGCGGCGGCGGTGGCGGTGGCGGTGCTGGACGGGACGTCATCATGAAGGTTATCGGCGTCGCCCATCAGGTCCACCAGATTGGAGGACTGGGAGGTCTGGGAGGGGTTGGGGGGAGGGCCACAGTTGCTGTCCCACAGGTTGACCAGACTGTCTTGCTCTGACTCCCACACAGAGAAGCCGGAGGAGTCGCGGGCCTGCGGGGCGACGCTCTGCACGGGCTTGGTGGGTGTCGACTCCTGGACCGGCGGTTTCTTCTCCTGCTGTGGCACCGAATCTGTTGGAGAAAACAGGCAAAATACCAATTTTACTATTTCCTAATATTTTGTTTTAACTCAGTGCAGGTGCAAAACATAAACAGCTGCGTTGACTGGACTACATGTTTCTGAACGTTACTAACATTTCTTTCAGCAGCATTTCAGTTACTATATTTCGACTATAACACGTAGCTAGTACCTGCTTTCGACTGTTGCGGTCACAGGTTGTCATTTGTTACAGATGTTGGCACTGCAACATCACATTATTGAAATACATAAATAAAAGATTGACATAATATATAAAATATAAAAGAATAATAATACGTGCAATACGTTATTGGTTATATATAAAAACATCTCATACAGCCCAGCAGTTTTTCTTTTACCACAGACGAAATAAATGAAACAGCATAAGCTAAAAAGACAGCTTAATTTGTTTTCGGCTCTACGGTGTGACTGCACACTCACGGTCAACCCTGTTAAAGATGGTTTGCTGCTGCCTGATGGTACGAATTTGTGTGTCCAGGCAAAGATCACCAAACTCATCTCGAAAGCTTGATGTGGATTTACTGATCATGATTCCATACATGTGCTCATGAAAACGTTTGACCTAATAAATGCTGGTGTGACCAGGCCTTTAGGAAGACAGCTCGATCCCCGCACAGAAACCAACACTGAAGTAGAAAACAAACAGTTTTATTCTTACCCCACTCATCTCTGCAGTCCTCCTCCTCCCTGCTGAAGTCCTCTTTGATGGGCGTGGTGACTATTTTAGGAATGGGTGACACGGCGGCCATGTTGCGCTCTGTGCTCACTTCGTTGTCATCGTCGCCTGAAGGGACAGAATAGCACAACATCGAAAAGGTACAGAGCAAAAGCCTTCACCAAAATCCCCCTGGAATGACACAATTACACTCATAATCCAGCTGTGTTGAACTGACGCAGAATGTTGCTTCTTATCTGAAATTAATTACAGATGTCAATTTGTTTTTTGTCGCCACAGACACCAGATTTAAAACCTTTGGTAAACTGCAAATCCAGAGAGATTTACCTGGCGATGAGAGGCTTAATCAGCATCGTGAGAACTCGGGCTTGAATGTAATGGACGTTCATTTATATGTCCCCCCACTCCATCCTTAAGTTAAGTTTTCTTCTTTGAATATACCCTGAATCAAATTATACTGATTGAAGGCTTCAAAACGGTCTGATTTTCTAACATCCACGGTCATGTCCTGTGTTAATTCAACACCACAGTGCACAGAATCACAGCAATCACATCACTTTTGTCGTCACTCGACCAGCAGACAGACATTTACAGTCACAGAGCCTGTTTCCAGACCTTTGAACCGCTGAACTCTTACAATGCCTCTATAACTTTTCCTCAGTTGAGGAGCCAATCAGACTGTTTGTGGATGAGACTAAGTGGGTGACATTATGAGGCAGTGTCAGGCAGAAGTGAAAGAGGCAAAACTCCCAAAGTTTCCTTTTGCATACTGTAGCGGAGAACGAATCATGGTGCAAAAATATGAACTTTAATGTTCAGATGTTGTCCTGTGTGCAAAGGCAGTCTATTTCATAGATTTGTAGGCATGCTAGCAGCTTGGCTCTATGGATGGCAATGTCAGTCTGCAGATGTATTCAATTAAATTTTATTTATTAAGTAATCTCACTGCACTTCTCATAGAGCACGTCTAGACCGATCAGTCGGCTGGTCTACCTCTTTGGTCCAGACTGAAATATTTTGGTAAGGAGTATGAATCCTTGCTTTGACTTTTCATCTAACACCATCATGACGGATATTTCATCATAACAGTTAGTGAGATGCTAGTGTGCGTGTTAGCCTGTTAGCTTATCGGCAAGGAAGGTTGCATCTAAAAGGTAGGTGAGCCATGAGACAGGTTTTGGTAGTGACTCCTAAACCAAAAAGGTTCAAGGCTCAGAGTGGCTTTGTTTTTAATGTACTACAGGTAGAACACAATACAGACACTGCTAGCATCAATGTTAAAAATGATTTAGTCGCTTTTCTGACTTGATATTCAAGGATCCTCACTCTTTTATCGCTGAAGTACTTTGGCAGTAAATTGGTTTATGGCCAAATATCTGCAAAACTAATGACATTTCCATTAGCCTCAGCTGTACTTTCTGTTTAGTGCTAATTTGCAAGTGTTAGCATGCTGACAATAATAAACATCAGCATGTTAGCATTTAGCACACAGTACCGCTGTGCCTAAGTACAGTCTCACAGAGCCGCTAGCATGTCTGTAAACTCTTGCTCATGAAGGAGTGGTTTTGTTGCTTTGTCTTATTTGGTTTGACGTTTGTTTGAATATCATGATAGAAGGCCTGAGCAACCCCGGTTTAAAAGACGTAAGTGCAACAAACATGGGGCGCGTTGCCATGTAACACTTGTGAACTGATGCCTACTACACACACTGGACATGTCATAGGAAGAGTAACCGGGAAAGTTGAAGCAAACCGATACTGGATACAACAAACAAGGAAAGGGTATCCAAAACCAAGACACAATCACTTTAATCCAGCAAGTCACGAAACAGCCATCAGATATCCTCTGAACATTCATCATTATGCCATCACTGTATACTAACACTTTGTGGGTGAGCCACTGTCACAATACTGACACCACATCTAAGAACACAACTCAATGTGACAGACATCAACACAAGTGTCAGTTACAGTCAAGAGAATCACAATGACACTGTCACTCTTTTTTAGATGTTCGATGATTTCATGCTTGTTGAAGTCAGACGTCCTGTTCAGAGAGTAGAACAAGATTTCCCAGAGGAACATGAACACAGTAGACCACAGATGAAGAACGACAGTCACTTGAAACAACGGCTGACGGAGATGTATGATCCAGCTCTGCAGGGTCTTGCATGGGTGGGTTCTCCAATTCACCTCGTAGTGTTTCATAAAACTGATCTTTAACTGGAAACCAGTTTAGAACATTGCCAATACCCTTTTAATGTGAAAGAGAAGCATTGAATTTAGAGAGAACTGTCTTTGTTGACATGGATGAACTGGTTCTGTGCCCACCCAGCATAATATCTGCCATTACAGCACCTACAGACATGCAACAACACGCACTGCAGATCATAAAGGTTGTCTGCATGATTTTGCCCTAACTCTATTATTGCTGAACATTTTCCAAAACATTTCATATGTTTTTTCAAGTCTTGAGTCATCCCAAAACAACACAAGTAGCTTTAGTGGTGTCTAGCCATGTCGTTAGTTTGGGGGTCTTTTATCCAGGTTTTGAGATATGTCTCTCTGAGATGTCTGCCCCCATCCTGAAACAATGGACCACCTGTTCCAGAAACTGTCCTTGTTACACTGGACAATCCAAAGTAAAGGGATATCTAATTAAAAAAACACTTTCACCACTGTGTTGGTGTGGAGGCAGAAGTCTCAGAGGCTATCTATCTGCATGGGTAGCTACATTTATTTTGTTAACTGAGCCTTAAAACGAATAAACATTTAATTGCCTTGACGTTCATATTATTGTTTTCTACCGCAGTTGTAAGAACAAACAGTTTGGAAAACTCGTCTTGGTTGATGCATTTAGGGAATTTAGAACATCAGATATTTGGAACTTGGCAGCAAACATTTAAACACAAGAAAAAAAGTCAAATTACCCTTTTTTTTTTTGTAGGCTTTTCGACAGCATTTTGTAAAGCTACCATAAGTCAGGTTAAATGTAAAAACATATGTCATGGATGGAAAATGGTCTGCAGTAACTTCAGGTGTTTGATACTTTGACACTCTAAACAGATTGACAACTAGATCAACTCCACACAAGTCAAAGGGCAAAGATCCAAAATCAGTCAAAGGCCAACAAACAACGGTGGCGACTGACGGACGGTTTGACGATGTCACATACAAACATTCGTATGCAAACACTCACAGGTTGGTCAGTTGGTCAGGATTAAAAGCAGCAGGAGGAATGTGTTTTTGAGTGGGAGTGTGCAGGGAGGTGATGCAGTCCAGGATCAGAGCCATGAGATTGAGGGTCAGAAGGAGGTGAAAAAAAAAAGATTATGTAGTTGAAGTCACAGCTCTTTATCCCTGAGAGAAGTAAAATGATCTTGTTGGTAATTTAAACCATAAAATATCGGGGAAAAAACAGAAACATTTACAAAAATAATTCAAAATCAGCACCTGACTGGACGACATCTAAAAGGATGAAGACCGAGTGGATGACAACATCTATCACACAAACCGACAAACAGCTTTATGGTTTACAACCATAAAGAATATTTTATTATTTACTGGCAGTTAGTGAGATGCTAGTGTGCATGTTAGCCTGTTAGCTTATCGGCAAGGAAGGTTGCAAGTGGTAGGTGAGCCACGAGACAGGTTTTGGTAGTGACTCCCAAACCAAAAAGGTTCAAGGCTCAGAATGGGTTTGATTTTAATGTACTATAGGTTGAACACAATACAAACACTGCCAGCATCAATGTTAAAAATGCATGTACCAAACATTTTGTTATAAACACAAACCAAAGGCCAGATTTAGTCAGATTTAGTCGCTTTTCTGACCTGATATACGCTCTTATTGCTGAAGTGCTTTGGCAGTTATTTGGTTTTTAGTGTTTGATAAAGTTGTGAGCTACTGCTAAATGCTACAACTGTTACTGTACTTCCTTAAATGCTATTTGATATTGTCAAAAAATCCCATGGAATGACCAAAACCAAAAAGCACACAGATGTATAGTTTCATTCTGTAAAAAGACAAAGTTTTGTGCATTTTTAGGGGACTATTTTCAGCGGCAGATTACTCCACATTTGGTTCTCTAGTGAGTATTGAGCAGCAGGACTGTGTGTGTGCGACACACTACTACATTTTTGATAATAAACAGAGTTTTAAAACAAGCAATCTCCGTCCAGATCAGCATTTTAGCTGCGTATCAGATTTGAACTCTATATTAAAACAACTAAAAACACATCTGGTGGCTGTTCACGTACACTGGGCATGCGCGTGCCGATGTAAACATGAAACAGATTGTCTACTCCGCAGTTGCAGAAGATTTGGCGAAAGAAGAAAGTTCTACTAGAGATGGATGACCACACCAGATTTTTGAGGTGAAACTGTTGCTGAAAGTAATACGGGAGTCCAAAGCGACTGTGGGGTAAAACTACAGTGTATGTGCGATGAAGGAACACAGCACTCAGTGCAGCAGTGATGCTCTCTGATGAGTTTTAACAGTTTCTATGGCTCAGAGGAAGAACATACATATCTGGTTTTGGTTAGTTATGCATTTGTTTCTTTGTTTTCTGTTTACTTTTGTTAAATTCATCCTTGTTTTTTAAATTCATCCCGGTTTTGGATTGTTCTGCCGTGTTTGGTTTTACTTTTTTGGATTTAATGCTTGTTGGATTTCAGTGTCTTCTTGTTCTTTGGATTTGTTTTTCCATGGACTGCCTGCCTCCAGTTTTCCTGTAAGTTACCATGAATACCACTGAAATGTACCTGCTCCACCTCAGTGCCTCACACGATCCTGTCCCGAGGTTGTCTGTGCTATGTTATTTTGGCCGTGCCTTCGCTGTATTTTGATTCTTGTTTCTCTGTTTCTCGGTTTTGTTTTTGTTTCTGTTAGTCCTGTCATCTGTTCTGTTGTTTAGTTCTCTGTGAGTTTATTTATTGATCAGTTCGGTATCTGTTATTTAGTATGTGTCTTGTGTTCTACTGTTTTCGCCTTGTTTATTCTTGTGGGGATTTGTGTGTTGGTTCTCATCGTTTTCTTGTTTTACTACTTAGTCCTGAGTTCCAGTTCTGTGTCTTAGTTCATGTCTTAGTGTTTACTCTTGATCTGT